GACCCGAAGAGGCCATGCGTGCGATTGTGCACAACACAGTACTCAAAAGATTGACCCTTGAGGTTGTGTTCGGCCCCACGCTTCTGATCCAACGGATCGACAACATGCTTCTCACAATAGTTCGTCCTCTGTTGAAATACTACTTTTTCTGTGAAGCTACATACCTACAGCCGTGTGTGTGAATGCTGTGACAATGCCTGCAGCCGCAGAATGCAAAGGTGCGATAGAGACAACAGCACTGACGCAGATCGGCGCAACTGCAAAACCAGTCAGTTTACGGAATGTCGGTCTGGGCCGCGGACGACAGGTGGGGCGTACGCCCCTGCAAGCGTGTTGTTGCTGTACCAGAAGAAAATCTCCACAGGCTTCATGGCGTTGTCGGAGCCGTCGAAAAGAACCTCATTCCGCCACACACTAATCGTCCGTTGTGCTTAGATGGTTTTGCAACGAGGCCGTGTTAAGACTGCCGACAAGGAGCTTTCAGGTGGCGTTCGCCAGCAAGTTCTGTTCGTGCCCGAACCAGGTAGACCATCTTAGTTGCACACGTGGCAAGAGCATCTAGCGGTTCATCCATTTTCTGGCTTTCCGGAGCTAGCAGCTAGTCTGCAATCAGGTTGCACTGATCCGGTAAGCGGCTTTCGTGACACTCGAGACACCTCCCCCAGCAGCGGCAATGGCTTTGGAAATCCAACGCTCCTGACAAACACTGATCTGACACAAAGCCACGGACTTAATCAAGGGTGGCATGACTGCTGCAGTTGTCCTCTTGCGAAAACAAGAGCTCGCTCACCCTTCCGCAAATCTCCCAAACGACTGCAGCGGACGTTCTCTCCGCTGGTTTCCGACGCCTGAAACACCTCATCAGATCATTTGCAGCCTTCTTCTTGGCTGCCGCCCGCGGCCTAGCTCCAGACTCTGACACAAACTGATACTCCATGGTCACTGCTCTCATGTGGCCATCTATGAATGACGCCAGCTGCGTCAACAGCGACAGCGCTGCCGATTGCATCTTTGTCTTTGCACAAAAAGTTTCTGGTGCCTGTCTGCGCAAGTCACGTGTGATGTCCATGGTCCACAGCACAAAGTCAGCGGGGTGAATTCTCGGAGGCACGGAAGTCACACCGATCTTCTTGTCATCAACCAAGTCTAGGCTCCACTGAAAAGCAACTAGCTTGTCAAAGAAAGGCTGCGTCCAAGGCTGAAAATCAGTAGGACGCCTCAATTCCTGGGTGGTCCATTGTCCGTGCTGCAAGTCTAGCGAGAAGTGCACATGCTGTATCCTGAAACAGCCTGTTTGGCATGCTTTGTCAAACAGTGAGCGCAAGCATCCATAAGCTAGCTTCCTAGTCTCTGCAGGCCTGGAGGAAGAGCACATGTGAAGCACATATGCTACCATCACAGACGTAGTCACATACCTGGTGGCATATTCCCCGCCACCCTTCTCTGGAGTAACGACTGGCACAGGCTGTCCCGGCCAAAGTTGCCGATGCCACTCGTCCACTGCTGGCTGCTCCTTCATGCACTTGCCCACGAGCTTATCAGCCCGGCACGTCGTGAAAAAATTGCGGCCCAGAGAGTTCAGAGCCCATTCGCATTGTGAGTCGGGCCCCCTCCGGCTGCAAACCGTCACATCCAATGTAATATCA